ACTTTTTAGATTTCATACCCCATAGTAATTTTATAACTATTTGACACATGGCATGGTTTCATATAAGAAGTTTAAAAACTATATCAATTATGCATCAGGATTTTAGTAGTTTAAACTAAACACTGTAATGTTGATGTCAAGAATCTGAATGTAGCTCTGCCTTGTACTAATGAGTTTTGATTTTTAATTCTAGGGAAACCTAAATGAGCTGGGCAAGATGATAATGCAGGGTGCATTCAGTGTTTGGACTGGACACAAAAAAGGTGCAACAAAAATGAAGGATTTTGCTAGATTCAAACCAATGCAGCGGCACCTTTTCTTGTACGAAAAAGCCATTGTATTTTGTAAAAGACGTGTTGAAAGTGGAGAAGGCTCTGGTAAATACCCGTCATACAGTTTTAAGCTCTCTTTAAAGGTAAGACAATTTAAATTCCATCATCTAATTTTTTTCACATATACATTTAAGTTTGTGTAATTTTTCACTTCAAGTGAATGGATTTTATACTTTAGTGGTACATCCCTTTGTTTAAACAATATTTTTAATTGAGGTATAATTTACCTATTACATTATATTAGTTTCTCATGTACAACAATTTTATATTTGTATTCATTATGATATGATCACCACAATAAGCCTAGTTAACATCTGTCACCACACAGTTAAAATGTTTTCTTGTGACGAGAATTGTTAGTGACTTTCAAATATTGTGACTTATTCATTTTATAACTGGAAGTTTTTCTTCCCTCTGACACCCTTCCCCCATCTATAAAATCTTAAGTAGATGTCTAATATAGAAGTCAGGGAAAGCAGAATTTCTCCACCTGATAGGTGTGAGACAGGGCAGAGCTTTGCCTCCATCCTTTTTCTCTCTCATTCTAATCCTAAGCAGTCCCCTAGAGTGAAATAATGAGAAGTGACCCAGGCTCCTCAATGAGCACTCTTACTGGTGATACTGTGTGGAGTTCTTGGTATCAGGGAGCTTTTATAACAAGAGACAATGAGGAAAGAATTTATTCCTTTTCCTTAGTGTAATTTAAAAATGAAATGTGCTTAGCCCTTTCCCACCTTCCTTTGTGTATCCCTCATCCATTCCCTAGAATCTCCCTCAGTATTCAAACCTACCTACACCTGAATCCTGTTCATTCTTGTCCTGTCCTATCTTTTGAAATTATTTTCTTCTCTCTTATAACCCAAACCACCATTCTGTTCTAATATTAGTTTGGTATGAAAATGAGGCCAATAATGTTTGAGGGAGTCACAGGCAGTCCAGTGATATTTGTAGCTGGTTCTGATGTTGGACAAGAAGAACTTGCAATTCGCATAAGTCTGTAATTGGTGAATTTTATTTTTTACACCTAATTAGTTTTATCTTTCAAGTTTTAAATTGTAAAAGCAATATAGCATTTGCTATAGAAAAATTTGGAAAGTAGAGACAATTACTACACTTGATTCCCCAACCACAATGATTTTAGTCATTTTTCTTTTCTTTTTCTTTCTTTTAAATTTAGGTTCTTTATTGTTTAAAGTATTACATGAGTCTCCCTTTTCCTCCATTGACCTCTCCCCAGCCACTCCAGCCCAACCATGCCCTCATCCCTCTACTGTCTGCATCTATTGGTTATGGTCATATGCATGCATACAATTCATTTTTCAGGAGCATGTTCTCTCATTGTTGTATAATTTGAGAATTGATGACATTTTTATCAGCAGTGATAAAGAGAACAGGCAATGTGTCCTGAGATAGGCCTGAGGTGTTTGTGTCAGAAGGCTACTATTATACATAAGCAGGCCCTGCTTTTGACTCTTCTGAGGGTCACCAGTTCCATGCTATTCCTAACAAGGTTCCTGGCCAGGGTTAGGTCTCCAACTGTCCTCTTTCCCTGCTTTACTTCTAAACTGTCAGGAGTGTCACGACTTCTTTAAAACTCTCACTTTTTAAAATAACAAATGCCCAATTGCTCCTTTGATATTAGCAACCCACCCTCAAATCCCCAAATCTCCAAGGGTCTTTTATGTTTCTAATAAACATTGGTTGAGAAACAAAGCGTTTACAACTGATATTGGACAGAGTGCAGATCTCTTCTTGGGAAGGTACTTTACCCAAATTCATTTGGTTAACTCTTTACTTGTGGGGTGACTTACTTAATACTGAATGCAGTATTTCTGATTTGTATTAAAATTTCATGTTACCTTTAATTTAATTTGTCACAATGATGGACCCACCAACAGAATATTTCTAGAATATATTGGAGTAAGTAAGGGCTATTGTGAGGTAATAAATCATGAGAATTCAAACTACAGTGGTAACCGTGGAAACAGAAGATGGGATAGATGTAAGAAACATTTCAATGAAATGTAGCTAAATGGACTGTTGACTTACTAGATGCAGGAAATAAATACCTGACATTTGAAGAAAAAAATGAATGATTTTTCTTTGGTTCCCCAATAATTCCTAGTATTTCTAATAAAAGAGATTAGTCAGTGATGCATGCATAGATTTAGACCAGGATTACTGGGAAAATAGTTATGCCGCTAACAGAAAGATGGAAGGTAGGCTATTTCTTAAGCCTCACTATGCTTATTTCCTCTTCCTTAGCTATCATGAGATCCCAGAATTAAATAATTGCTAGCATTACTAGTCATTGTGTTAGGTAATACTCTGGGTTCCTGGTTTCACAGTCTTGGCCTTGGTAGAGAGGATTAATGCATGTGCTCTCTATAGCTGAGCAATTTCTCTCACTGTTTAGTGGACTTCATTATAAAAAGCTGCAATTCCATGCCCTGGCAATGTACTTTTTAAGAATTTTGTTCTATATTTTATAAGCCCTTTCTATGCAAAGAAAGGTCTCTAAGGTTAATCAGATGGAGAGATTTGAGTTCCTCAGATACTTCAGTTCATGTATTTATTATCATCTATTTAAAAATATGTATTTATTGATTGTTTTTGAGAGAGAGAAATATCGATGTGTGAGAGAAATGTGAATCTATTGCCTCCTCTACACACCTGCCTGACTGGGGATCAAACTTGCAACCTGGGTATATGCCCTGACTGACAAGATGATGCTCAGCCAACTGAGCCACACTGGCAAGGGCTATCATCTATTAAAAAATTAACATACCACACAATACTTACTATGTGGTATGAATTGTTCTGAGTGTTTATAAACATTTGATCCACATAGCAATTTTATATAAGTGGAAACTATTAACTAACCTATTATTCCCATTTTGCGGATGGGAAAGCTAAGTTCTAGAGAGGTGATTTACCCATGAGCACATAGCTGGTGCAGTGCAGCTTCAGACCCAGGCAGATTGCTCTATACTCCATGCTCTCAATCACTACACCAAGGTGGGAAGCCTGTTCATGTTCATTTTTTTATTCCTTCATTCATTCTTTTTAAATCCCAATTCTCCACACTTGCCTCCTCTCTATCCTTGTAGCAGCCATTCTAATTTATTTAATGTATTCTGCCCAGTTTGTGTGTTTTTGATAAATGTATACCAATATTCTGTATACATGTAATTTGGAACTGAGAATAATATTGTCTGATAAATATAGTGGTTACATTTCCAGGGTAACTTGAAAAATCTCATATAATCTATAATGATGTGTTGTATGTGTTGCAATGAAGTTAAGAAAACAAACTAATATTTTACAAAGCTCATTGTATGCCCAAAACATTTAATGTCTGTTATTTAATCCTATGTCAACTCTATGAAATAGGTATTCTCCCCACTTTATAGTTGAGGAAACAAGTTCAGAAAGGTTAAGCAACTTGCACCAAGAAACATAACTACATATTCAAGTGGTAGAGATGCAATTCCAATCTCAGCCTCTTGGACTCCAAAGCCCTTGCTCTTTCCATCTTATCATGCTATTGGGACAAAGTAATGTATTAAAGCAAAATCAGTTTAAATAGACATTGCATATGAAATTATTATTTTAAATTCTGATGTTTCAGCAAAAGTAGGTTAGAGTGGTTGAGTAGGTATAAAGATATTTTTGGACATTCAGAAAATAATTTCTGACTACATTCAGGATAGATGTCATAGGCTTTTTTATTTATATGTCACACTTCATTTTTAAATATAGTCCTTTTTATTTTCCTTGATATGGAGATCTGAATAGCACTACTTTGAATGCCTATCAGCGCTAAATAGGTTCATTTGTAGGGCTTATAAGTGGAATAGAAAGTAAGATATTCCTTTAGATTACTGGGCAAGAGTTTAAAGAAAAGAGAAGGGAGAAGGGGACTAAAGAAGAATGTGTATAAAAGGGAGTAAAATTGCTCAAAATGGAATTAACCAGGCTATTAGCGGCACAGAATGAATTAAAATGGAAGAGACTGTACTATGCACAATTATATGGAGGACAAGAAAAACTGTGGTAAGGAAGGGATATTATATCTAAAAATTTGGCTATAAAAAGACACCATTCTCCCATGACAGATTATTTGTTTTCTAGAAAGGCTGAGAGAATGGTGGAACTGGAGGGACTCTTTGTGTACCTGGCTGGTTTTGCTACCCCATAAGTTAGATGTTTGTAACATGTAGGATTTCTATAGAGATAAGTAATAAGTTGTAAGATTAACTTATTTTGCAAATGATTGTTAAAAATAACTAAATTAATGTTGGATGACCTTTTCACACAGTTGTTGCTTACTTTTTCTTCTTTTTGACATAATAATTTGTTTTCAGAGTATACAATTAATTTATAACAGAATTCAATCTTAGATGGACTGCTTGAATGTTCAAATATATAACCTTTGTTTCAATCACTGGAATGGTACACGCAGTTTGCACTATAAGTGCATAGTACACTGAAAACATTTAAATATTCAGGTCTGTGACTGAAATATCATTTCATATAATTTCATATTCTTTGAATATAAAATGTGTATTTTGCCCAAGTGAGAAATTTTATTAAGAATATGATGGGGGTAGGTTTAATGTATTTTTGTATTCAAAATGCTCATGAAAATTTTGACATGTATTATAGATGGATGAAGTTGGAATCACTGAATATGTGAAAGGAGATAAACGCAAGTTTGAAATCTGGTATGCTGGGAAAGAAGAAATTTATATTGTCCAGGTTGGTAAAGTTTTTCTAGAAATTATTTTGGTTACATTATAAAATGTCACATTCCTTTCATGTAGGCCACTTAAATATTATTTTTTTTCTGGTATAGTTGTACATTTTTTCAGTAATGGGTAAGGTGACCAGACGTCATTCCAAAAATCGGGATATTTTTAAAACATCCAGCGGGATGCAGGACAAATTGTTAAAAATTGGGACTGTCCCTCCAAAAGCGGGACGTCTGGTTACCTTAGTAATGGGCTTTTTTAAATGACATATGCCTATGGTGATAGAATCTTGATCTATGTTACTGAAGACTATGGTTAAATCTCTGTCCAGATGTGCTATAAGGTCCAACCTGTTTAAGTTAAGGGTAGAAGAATGAGAACATTTCAAGAGGATGTTGGAATTTCAATAATTATTTGTATCACAACTTGTGACAGGTGACCATGATATTATCTGTTTAAAGTGCCCAGTGCTTTTTCTTTGTTTTAATTCTGTACTAGATGATTACAATTTCATAAAAATATATTTTCTTGGCTTGATTTAGTTTTAAGACTTCTTACTATCTTTAAACAAATATATCTTTTAAGTAAATGGAGGATATTTAAGGAAGCTTGGATGATGTCATCAGTTATCAAGATTACTATGCAATAGTAATCTATTTTGTCTTTTCAGAAATAGTGGAACTTATTTTATTTTACAAAAATTAAACATAACACATTTATATTTTAAAAGAACCCTCCTACAAAAAATAACTGAATATAATATTTCATATTTAGTGTGAGTGTTATTATTTAAAGGCAGTTTCTCAAAATGGTTTTGACTATTATTTCATCTAATTTGATGGTTGCTTATTTGCTTCTTAGAAGTTTGAAGAATCAAAATGTTAGAGATTGAATATGGTGGTTCAGGACTCATGTTCAGATTCATATTTGATAAACTTAATTATATTGGTTTCATATAAATTATCTTTTTTAGAGGAAACATGTCTTCTTTTTCCCCCTTTTAAAAATCTTTAGGCTTCAAATATGGATGTGAAGATGATATGGCTAAAAGAGATAAGAAATATTTTATTGAAGCAACAAGAACTTCTGACAGGTAAACTTATAAGCCAGTATTTTTTTTTTAAAAAAGAAGTATAGTAAAGTTCATTGACTCAGATTTTGTGATAAGTTTTACTGGGAATGGGAATGATATTTACTTTAAACTATTTATAATGAAAGGGCTTGTTAAACTAGTAAGAGATCAAGACTTATGGGCTTGTTTAAACCATTTTGGAGAATGAACTTTACATTAGAAAATGAACTCTAGTGGTCAAGAAGCAGTTTTGAAATAACATACGAAACCCACTGTATTAATTCTGAGTCCTTATCATGAAGCAACTATTTAGGACCTCAAGTAATCAGTGCTTGGCAATGTTGGGGTAAGGTACTTTTAGTAATATATTCAAAGTTCTTGAATGAAATATTAAATTGCTCAGTCCTTTTCCATATTCCAAATTCAGAACTGGTTATTTCAAGACTGAGAAGTTTAATAGGAATGGGTGTGTGTGTGAATGCATGTAAGTCATTGGTCTTGAAGCAAGAAGTGTGGCTTCTGAATGATGCTTATATAAACTTTCTTTTATTCCACAGTTAAAGAACAACAGCAGCGTAATCAGTTAACTGAACAGGATCAGCTTTCGTCTCAACAGAATGATGAGTAAGTGATTATTTTTTTAAATTTCTTTATTGATTAAGGTATTACATATGAGTCCATATCCCCTAATTGCCCCCCACCCCACTCCTGTATAAGCCCTCACCCCCTGCTGTCTGTGTCCATTGGTCATGCTTATATGCATACATACTAGTCTTGGTTGATCTCTTCCCTGTACTCCCACCCTCCCCTACTTTCCCTCTGAAGTTTGACGGTCTGATTGATGCTTCTCTGTCTTTAGATCTGTTGTTGTTCATTAGTTTATGTTGTTCATTATAATCCGCAAATGAGTGAGTTCATGTGATATTTATCTTTCTCTGACTGACTTATTTCACTTAACATAATGCTCTCCAGCTCCATCCATGCTGTTGCAAATAGTAGGTGTTCCTTCCTTTTTACCACAGCTTAGTATTCCATTGTGTAGATGTACCACAGTTTTCTAACCCACTTGTCTGCAGATGGGCATCTAGGCTGCTTCCAAATTTTAGCTATGGTGAATTGCACTGCTATGAACATAGGGGTGCTTATATATTTTCTGATTGGTGTTTCTGGTTTCTTGGGATATATTCCTAGAAGTGGAATCACTGGTTCAAATCGGAGTTCCATTTTAGTTTTTTGAGGAAACTCCATACTGTTCTCCATGGTGGGTGCACCAGTCTACATTCCCACCAGCAGTGCACAAGGGTTCCTTTTTCTCTGCACCCTCTCCAGCACTTGTTATTTGTTGATTTGTTGATGATAGCTATTCTGACAGGTGTGAGATGGTACTGCATTGTCATTTTCATTTGCATATCTCAGATGATTAGTGACTTTGAGCATATGTCTCGACCTTTATTCTGTCTTTTTTTGAAAAGATTCTATTTAGGTCCGTTGCCCATTTTTTTTAATTGGATCGTTTATCTTCCTTTTATTAAGTTGTATAAGTTGCCTGTAGATGTAGATTAAAACTTTATCAATGATAACATTGGCAAACATGCTCAAAGTCACTAATCATCTGAGATATGCAAATGAAAATGACAATGCAGTACCATCTCACACATGTCAGAATGGCTATCATCAACAAATCAACAAACTGACAAGTATTGGCTAGGATGTGGAGAAAAAGGAACCCTTGTGTACTGCTGGTTGGAATGTAGACTGGTGCAGCCACTGTGGAGAACAGTATGGAGTTTCCTCAAAAAATTAAAAATGGAATTCCCATTTGACCCAATAATCCCACTCCTAGGAATATATACTAAGAAAGAACACCAATCAGAAAGGATATGTGTACCCGTATATTCATAGCAGCACAATTCACCTTAGCTAAGATTTGGAAGCAGCCTAAATGCCCATCAGCAGATGAGTGGATTAAAAAACTGTTGTACATCTACCCAATAGAATACTATGCTGCCATAAAAAAGGAATTCTTACCATTTGTAGCAACCTGGATGAAACTGGAGAACATTATGCTAAATGAAATAAGCCAGTCAATGAAAGAAAAATTCCATATGATGTCACTCATTTGTGAATAATAAAGAACATTATAAACTAATAAACAAGAAGATAGATACAGAGGCAGTAAAGCATCAAACAGACTGTCAAATTACAGTGGGAAAGTTGGGGAGAGCTATGGGAGATAAGAGATCAACAGAAGGACCTGTATGCATTCATATAAACATAACCAATGGACACAAAACACTGGGGGTGAGAGCATGCATGGAAGTGGGGTGGGAGGCAATGGTAAGATATGTAAACATATAATACCTTAATAAAAATGGAAAAAAATAAAGTACGTATATATTGTGAAATATTCACCATAGTTAAGGTAATTTACACATCCATTGCTTCACACAGTTATCCTTTGTGTAAGTATGTGTGTGGGGGTTAAGGACATTTAAGATCCATCTCTTAACAAATTTCAAATATACAGTATAATATACTATGGAAAATTTAAGCAATATACCTGCTTTGGGTCAAGAAGGGAGTAATTATTTTCCTTACATCTTAAAGAGAGATCTTGCTGGCTTGGACCCTAGGATTTAAGTTTTTGTATATTATGAACTATTACACACAGACTTATATGAGGGGGAGTTAACTCTTTTTGAACGGATTTTCAGAGTATATTCTTGACACATGGCATCAGTAGAACAAATACCATTTTTAATTTCTAATTATTCTTTGGCTATGTAAAAACTCACTTTTTTTTTTTATCTATTTACTATTTCAGAAGGCAACAGCGAGCTTTTGCAGTCCCCAAGATAACTAAACCTGAGCACACCAGCACTGTGGTAAGGGTCCAGGAGGCAACCTCAACAGTTCAGGAGGGAGCAAATACAGGTATGTGTCGTGGTCATCCAAAGGTCAGATTTATGATTGTGCAGATTCTTTTCTCTCATTGTTCATTTTGAAAATCTATTATCTTTATATAAAGAAAATAAAATTAAAGTATTTTTGTAAGGCTTGTATGTCTTGGATTTGCAAGATGCTGGTAGGCACTGCAAAGCAGTGATTGTCAAAGTGCAGTCCCTGAATCAGGAGCATTAGCATCACCTAGGAATTTTTAAGGAAGGCTAGTTCTCTGGCTCTGCCCAGGACATTCTGATTCAAAAATTCTGGGAGTAAAATGCAGCCATCTGTGATGTACAGTTATCATGTGAGTATTTCTGATTCATTTTCAAGTCTGGAAACTCCTGCTACGTAGTGTAGGTAGAAAGATGAGTAAAACACATATTGGCTTAAAGGAATGCACAATTTACTCACCATAGATTTAACAAATAGAGTTATTTATACCTGGAATAGTTTTTAATGCAAATTGTTTTAGTTATACTATTTCAAAAATTTGTTTAAATTCATCAAATATAACACACTATGTGTGCCAGGAATTGTGTAAAGCCCTGGGCAAAAAAGTTTAAGATACACTCAGCTGCCATCCCCATGACGCTAGGAAGGAAAAACGATAATTCAACAAGCAGTTAAACCGAAACTAGCTTGGCTCAGTGGATAGAGCATCGGCCTGCAGACTGAAAGGTCCCAGGTTTGATTCCGGTCAAGGGCATGTACCTTGGTTGTGGGCACACCCTGTGCAAGAGGCAGTTGATTGATGTTTCTCTCTCATTGATGTTTTTAACTCTTTATCCCTCTCTCTTCCTTTCTGTAAAAAATCAATAAAATATATATTTTTTTAAAAGCCACAAAAACAAGCAGTTAAAATTAAAATGAGAAAAGTATTTTGAAAGGGAAGTACAAGGTGCTGCAGAAGCATCCAGCAAGGGTCACCTAAGCAACTGTGGGATCAACAGCATAGACCTCCCTGGAGAATTGCCTTACAGATTGCCTGATATGCAGTAATGATGATGGTTTCCTAATATGGAAGAGTTCTCTATTAGTTGAGGAAAACAAGTAACAATAACATTGCTCAACTTTCAGTTATCCATTTAAAGGTCACTTCCATCAACTCATTTGTGCTATAGCCCCAAAGCAGTCAAGAGGGAGCCTAGTACAGATGTCTTCATTTGACAGGTGTAGAAACCAAGTCAGAGACAGTTGGCTTAACTGTTATGAAATTACATGAACAGTTTAGTGTTCAGTGTGGCCAAGTTGTGATACTGTTAATTCTCTGTCTACATTAGATTGCTTAATTTATATCTTAATGTGCAAGGCTCTTATATGACATAGTCTCTGCCTGATAAGAGAGATAAGACAAGTAAAAACTACTACTAGGTAGAATGATATAAGTGCTATTTGAATGGACCAATAAAAAGACTACAGAAAATAATTTTGAAAGAGATTATTTTCTGTAAGAAGGGGTAAATATCCTCTAGAATATTATTTGTTATTATTTTTTATTTTGTTTTTTAATTTTCACCCAAGGATATCCACCCCCCCAATTGATATTTAAAGAGAATGGAAGAGATGGGGAGAGAGAAAAAGAGGGAAGAGAGACAAACACATCAATTGGTTGCCTCCTGCACACAGTCTGACCAGGGCCAGGATAGAGCCTGCAACCTAGGTACATGCCCTTGACTGAAATTGAACCTGCAACCCTTCAATCTGTGGGCCAGCACTATAGCCATTGAACATAACTGGCTAGGGCTAACTTATTTTTAATAACTCTCACCAACCCCAACTTGAAACCATCCTAATAAATAAAAGATGTGATATTTCTGAAATATCAGCAATTCTAAAACAGTGTAATCTCACTGGAGGTTTTATTATAGGGAGATACTATTCTTGGACCACTGTGGACTTGCTTATTATAGTAAATTTTACTTCTCTCCTTGTGATGGACCAACACCATTAAGTAACTGCCACCCTCCATGTTTTTCTCATAGTTTGGACTGAAGAAATCTCTGAAGGCCGTGAGCCATGGTTAAACAACTATTTCTCTTCTTCCTATGTTGATGATGGAGAAGAAAAAACACTACTGGTTAGTAATGACAAATGAAAATAAATAAATAGAAACTCTTAAGGCAGTTTTACTGATGAAATAAGTGAAGTATGTAGGGATATTCTTTTGTCAGCATCCTTGTGGTATATTCCATGGTCTAAAATTTTGAAACAATTATGAACATTCAATAAGCACTTTGCTCTGTAAGTAGAACTTATTTGTGCAATACATGGAGTTCCTACTGAAGTTGATGAGATGAATAGCCATCCATTCCAAGTCTCTATACATTGACCAGTTTCATCTTTAGTTAAATGTCACCACTATGTTTTCAACCAAGGCATGTGAGATAAAATCAAAGAACAAAGAAGGGTCAAGTATACTTTTAAAAAAAGTTTAGATTCCAGATTGGAAAATAGTGGAAATAAACATTACACATAAATAACATCTGAAGAATATATTTTAGTGAACTGTTGAAAAATGTGCTAATACCAAATGTCAGCATATTGGAGCAAGAGGTCACCCCATAAAACTAAAAGAGGTTGCTTTAAAGTAAAAGTAAGTGTTGAACTTACTTTCCCTATTTAAGTAGTTTGCAATGTTGTTATGATCCTAGTGGATTTTTAGAGGGATATTAGGACTATTTAGGGTATATCTCCAATTTTCGGAAGTCACATCTTGGAGGTTTGGAATGATTCTTTGTAATGGACTGCTGCTTGATGCCCTTCAGAACAACAAAATCAATTTGGCAGTTTTAATATTGAGCTATGAGAATGGTGGCATGGATAACAACAAAGCTGCAGAGCATTGACCTGAATGCATTCTTTTAAAAAGTAACAGAATGTTATTTCTACTAATAATACAGTGACCATAAACATAGATGTATGGTAGTTTACAATTTACACTATTACCTATTCAATATTCATAGTATTATTAAGAGGAAGGGCAGGCTTTATTACCTCCAATGGACAGAGGAGGAAACTGAGGCTCAGTGTTGTTGGGAGATTTGTCTAGAGTTAATTGTCTGGACCATAAGTGCTCAAACTTTTTAAAGTAAGAATTCTTTACATTCTTAAAAATTATTGATAATCCTAAAGAGTCCTTGTTTACATTTATTGATATTTATCATCTTATAAATTAAAACTAAGAAATATAGCTATTTAGTCACTCTTTTAAAATATCAATAAACCCATTATAAGTTCATTTAAATAACATTTTTATTAAAAATTACATTTTTCAAAACAAGATTTAGTGAAAAAATATTTTTGCAAGTCTCTTTAATCTGCTTTCGCATTCAGTCTGTTATGTTATTATATATCAGGTAGTTATTAGAAAACTCTACTGTATACTTGTGAGAGGATAAGAGTGAAAGGCAAATAATGTCTTCCTATGGATTTGATCTTGGAAACCCTTGGAAGGGTGTCAGGAACCCCCAAAGGTCTGTCTCCTGAACTCTGAGAACCACCGGTTTAAACTAATAATAAAAATAACTTCCATTTCTTTAATTAATACTGCTTGAGGATGGTAGTTATCCAGATGCAAGTGAAAAGTCAGGGGAAGCCATTTGGAATTTAAACATTTGCTGTATATAAATCTATGAGGGGATTGTCAAGAACTGATAAAATTTTCAGTAAGCATTTTCCCAACTGTAGTTTCAGAAAATAAAGCAAATATGCAAAACTGATTAGTGCTTTAATCATAGGGGATGGAAATGTAGAAAAAGCTATTGGTTTTCCTCTTCTCCCAATAATTTCCTAAGTTGTGTTATTAAGGAAGTCATACAAAAAAATAGTTAACAACATACAAAAAAGAATGATTCCCCCAAAGCAAAATGGGTTGCAACGAGCTGCTCTTTTAGCCTCACTTTATAAAAAGAAAAAAAAAGTCAGAATTAATGGGTCCTGCTTCTCTCATAGAGCTGGTATTGGGGTTAGCTCTCCTATTTTTATGAAGCTACTGTATTAAATATCAACTATTTGATGCACACTGTCTGCTCCTTAGCCCATTTAATAAAAGTCCTGCTCAAAAGGCATTCATCCCAAGTGATGTGGATCTTGTTTTTAAGTTAATTCATTTGGATGTGCAAAAACTTGACACCACAGTTATTTCTTTTCTTTCCTTAACAATTAATTATGGTCCTCTTACTTTTTAAAATCATGTATTCAATGTGTAAGATAGTGTGGTTGAGATATCTCAGAATATATTTGTACATGAGATATATTCTTTTTTCTTAATCTACTGTGTAACCAAATGTAATCAGTGTGCCTTGGATTACTTTGGTTATTAATGAGTCAAGTTAAAAATATAGCTGCACCCCAGGCTAGTGTGGCTCAGTTAGTTGAGCATTGTCTCATGCACTGAAGTATTGGTGGTTGATTGCCGGGCAGCACATTTACCTACGTAGTGGGCTTCATCCCCAGTAGGGGAGTGTATGGGAGGCAACTGATCAGTGTTTCTCTCACATTACAGTGTTTCTCTCACATTAATGTTTCTCTCTCCCTCTTCTTCTCTCTGTAAAATAAAAAACACAGACCTTAATTCTTTAAAGAATACATAAAGCTGCAAAAGATTAATGCCAAGTAAAGCACAACATTCAATCTGCTTCTACTCGACCCAGATATTTTTGTACCCATTATTTTTACATGTGCCAAGCAGTCTGAAGCCTAGAAATCCTTTTGGGGGCATAAGCAAATCTTTGTTCTGGGCCATTGCCTTTTGTATGTGCCAAGCTAAATTCTTTACGAGAGCAGATTGCAAATAACAGTATTTTAAAATTATTTTAATGTTCTTTTTTTCTGGGCATATGCTTATGATTCATGTAACTTAAATTAGTTGTGCTCTGTTATTTTCTGTGTAGTTCATGATGTAACTCTCTTTTTGCAAATAAAAGTGAGTTCTTCAGGCTAAATAAGCACATGTTCCACTTCCCCCCTTCCCCCATCACAAACTGCTTCATGTTTGTTCCTGCAAAGCTTCTGCAGCTATCCCATTTACCATTGAAGTACTGTGATAATTGTTTGACACAGAGCATGCAGTTGTGCAAGCGGTTTTACCATCAAGTTTATAATGTAATTTTTCAACACAACTCAGTCCGCAGGCAAATATATTTTGCCTTAACAGATTAAGCCAAGTGGCTTAAGAGATTGCAGAAAAAGAGGCTCAGATGACCTCCTGATTAAAAATGGAGATGTCATTCAGCTTCTCCATGAAGATGCTGAGGGTCAATGGTAGGTGTGTTCTCAATGCCTGTGACCACCTCTGCCTGGGGCACATGGGTATCTAATCAAATGTTCGGCTTTACTTGTATCTTTGTTATAGTCTTAAGAAGCGGAAATATCACATGTCTTATTAGTGTTTCATTTTCATTGCTTCAGCCATGCCTATATAGCTCACTGAAAGGAATATTAACCTTTGGTGAGTGAAAAATGCTTTGAAAGAATGAAATGCTATGAGTCTGCATGCTCTTGTCATTTACCTTTGGATCAGACATTAGCTAATACATCTGGCTTTGTAATGGCTATAGGTCGCATTACATGTGATAATTTAATTCATTCATCAAATCACATTTTTAATGAATGCCTATTATGCTTTGCTCCTTTACAGCATAGTCACACTTCTCTTCATTAGTTCAAATATTGACTTTTTAGTCTTATCCTGTCATGAGTCTGCCATAAGATGGTTCTGCCAAATATACTGTTTAATTTTAGAAAACCAAAAGCAAGAAGGAATATTGTTTGGAAGAGGATTGAATAAAGCTCCCATAAATCTTAGAAAATTTATATGAAATTATTATTTTATTGTGTCAATAACTTTAACTGAAATGCTACATTGACCATGTACTCTGCCTTTAAAGATGGAAGAGAATACATATGAGGGTGAAAATTAATGATGTATCATTAAAATAATAACCACTTTTGCTAGTAACCTCAGTCCTTTGTAGGTTACTCAAAAGACTCAAGAACAGTGTCATGAAGTTCTTTGAATATGTGCAAAAGCTTTGTGAAAATTTGAGCTGCAATGGAATGTAATGTCTTTGCTTTTTGTTAGCTTATATTACCATTGTTGGCTACTAATTAATGTATTATTTAGGATGGTGAAAAGTCTAAACAGAAGAAAAGAAGACCTGATTCCCGGGAACAGTCTGAAGATTTAAATCGGTGACTAGGTTTCGGAATGCCAAAGTTACAGGTATAACATGAACAGACTGTATACTATTTGTTTAAAGACTAAAAATTTTAAAGCTTTATCAAGTATGCAATTGGCATAAGTTAAGAACCTCTTTGCACTTAGAAATAAAGCTTCATGCCTACTATGTTAACTAGGATTTAATAAACATGTTAAACTCTTTCTTACAAGGTTCATAGATTTGAAAGTTTCCAATGCTGTGGTGTCTTACAAGAGATCCTTCAGAACTAAATACTGATAAAATACTTTTAAGATATCAGCTTTACTATCCAAGAGTGCTTTACCAGTGTTTTTACTCAGTTCACAGAATATATCCTTTCCTTATGATAGGTTTCTGCTATACACACATGCACACACACACACACACACACACACACACACACACACACACACTTCTCTGTAGCTGTACACAAGATTTAATATGTGAAGGTAGTATGAAGTAATGAGAATGAATCTAATGTTCATTTCTATTTAAAAAAAACTTTCAAATGGAATTTCTGTATACAAACCAATGTTTTTGTAGATTTTCACAGTGAGTGATACTGAGCTATTTATAAAAAGGCAGCACACACAAAAAAAGAAAACAGATTTGTTTGTGAACTTGTGTGTGAAGATTATTATTATATATACATATTTCCTTTGATTTGTATTTAAATTCCAGGTAATGGTACATTGTGTTTAGATGGATCTATTAGATCAGGAGTAACTTATTTGGTTCATTTATGACATGAAATAAAATCTAAGGTTGATAGAACTCAATATAAATATTGGGTCACATGGGAACCCCACAAATAGAGTCACTTCTTATTTGTTATTGTTATATTAGAAATTAATAATCCCTAAATTTTGGATATTGAATTACATAAATCTAAACACATGGGACAAATAAGTAAAAGCACAAGATAAATTAGAATTATTTCAAATTGGATGAAAATGGAGCATATCAAAATTTGTGGATGCAGATAAGGAAGATATAAAATGTATAGCTTTAAATACTTGTATTTTACACTTAAAATTCAACATAATTCACCATATTAAGACAATGAAGGGGAAATTTATGTAATAATTTTAATAAATGCAGAAAAGTACTGGACAGAACTATAAACTCATTCATAATAAAATGTCACCCCAAATTAAGAATAAAGTGTATTTCCTAAACCTGATAATATATACGGTACTTGTGAAAAACCACAGCTAACATCATATTTAATGATAAAATATTGAAAGCTTTTCCCCTAGGATTTGGAAGAAGCCAAGGATATTATTCACTCACACCATTTCTATTCAACATTGATACTGGAAATCTTAGCCAGTGCCATAATTCAAAATAAAAAGATTAACAAAAATATTAGAAAAGAAGAGGCAACATTGTTGTGATTAGCAGATCATTTATATGTACAAAATCATTAGGTATCTATACACAAAAGACTTTATTAGAAATAATAAATGAATTTTATAAAGCCAAGTATACAAAGTCATCATATAAAGTAAATTTTAATTCTATACCATACCCCAAAGTGTTAAAAATGAAATTTCAAAACACAATACCATTTACATTGGTAATATAAAACAAGAAATAGAAATAAGTCTATTGGCCAACATCTAAGACTTTTATATTGACAATCAGAAGTCATTGCTTAGATACATTTAGAATGACCTAGGAAAGAGGAGATATATACCATATTTTCCGGCGTATAAGATGACCCCCCTAATTTTTACAGTTAAAACATAGGTTTAGGCCTATATTCACTGTATAAGACTACCCCCCACTTCGGAGGCAACACCAATTCTTTTTTTAATAGACCGCCTCTCTGACTCTGGCCAATCTGAGCAGGCTTTTTACTAGAACACAGTGTAGCTTCGGGTACAGAACAAGTATAATTTGCATACATAAAAAGCCTGCTTGGATTGGCTGAGTTATAGAGGCGGTCTATTAAAAAAAGAATTGGTGTTGCCTCGGAAGTGGGGGGGGGGGGGGGTCTTATACAGCGAATATAGGCCTAAACCTATGTTTTAATTGTGAGATTAGGGGTCGTCTTATAAACCGGAAAATACGGTACCAGTATGCCATGTTCAAGAATTGGAAATCTCAAAGTTGTTAAAAAGTCAATTATCTCCAAATCCACTTGTAGAGTTAATGCAATCAAAATCTCAGCAAGCCCTTTTGGGACATAAAAGTAAAGACAAGTTTACTCTAAAATGCACACAGAGAGGGAAAGAATTTAGAAAAGAATCTCAAAAATTTGGAAGACTTACATACCCTGATTTAAATACCCAATAAGGCTACAGTAAATATAATGTCATGTAGAAAGATAGAGATTTCAGTAGACACACAGATACATAATCAATTAACATCCAATCAAGGTCCTAAGTCAACTAAATGGGAAAAGGAAAGTTATTTAATCAAATGGTGCTGGAGCAACTAGATATCCATCTAGAAAAAGAAATGAACCTCCATCCCTCCATTGCACTCCATACACACAAATTAATTTGACTTAGATCATAGACATAAATGTTCAAGCTAGAATAATAAAGCTTATAAAACCAAAAAAGGCAGTATCTTCATGGCTGAGCTGTTAACAATTTCTTATGTAAGGCAGAGAAAACACTAACCAGAAAAGATTATCAAACAAATACAAAGAAACATTATACATATTGCTCAAGCACTTGACAATGTTACACATTTATGCTTGTTAGAATAAGATAAAATATAAGAGGCTAATATTCGGAATACTTTCAAAAGCCAATTATGTAGCATTAATGAGTCACAGTTTCCCTTA